CAATTATTTTCATTAAGAATTTTATGTTTTGCAATAATTGTACTGAGTCTATTATAAATTCCTTTTGTAAATATTTTTCGAACTGTTTCTAATAAAGTTATTGTCCATATATTTTTCTTCCAATCTTTTGGTTTAGCTATAAGAAATATATATCCCTCTGACTATTCTTTTGGCACTTCTTTATTTTTTAAGATCTGGTTAAATATATTTGTAAAAAACTGAATTGCATTGTTTTTCATATGTTTCCATAGTTCATTGGAAATATTGGATGGACCTGGTGTCTTTTTATTTGGTAGTTTTCTAATAAGTCCTTCTATTTCTTCTGCTGTAAAACTTTTTGTAAGTGATAAAAACCATTCCTCTTGTATTTCATTGTTTTGATTGTAGGTCTGTTTCCATTCTTGATATTGATTCAGATCTTCTATGTTTTTTGATGTGATCCAATGAAAATACATTTTTGACTTCTTGTTTTATTTCTTATGAATCTGTTATTACTTCAATTTGTTTGTTTGTTATTCTGATTAAACTATCTGTTACTATTCTTGGTCTTTCTTTATTTAGTAAACTTTGAATAACTATTTTTTTGTTATTTAAAAAGTTTTTATTTCTTTTAACAATTTGTTCTTTAATTTTCTTATAATTTGCTTCTTTTATTTCTGCCTCAAATATTTTATGCAAAGTATAATGCATCTTTTTAACCTCTTTTAACCAATTTTTATTCTCATCTGATATTTCTGTCCATATTGGAATTGCAATTTCTATATTATAGTCTTCCCTAATTTTTTCTATCTTTTTCTTATTTTCTCTTTTAATAAATTCTTTTTTTTACTGTTGGTATAATATTGTCTGCTAATTTATAAATTTTTCTTATAGCTATAAGTTTTCTATATGTAATGAAGTTATTATGTAATACTTTGGATTCTTCATATTTTCCAGATATCAGTTTTTTCTTTTTAGGAATTATTTCATTTGCTTTTTGAATTATAACATTTCTGAAAAAATTCCATTTTTCTTCTAT